CAACCGGCGGACGCGCGACGTCCGGGCCCTCTAAAGCGGACCCTCTCTCGGCCAGCTGTAGTTAGCACACTGACGTATCTAACACGAGTAATAGAGTATATTGTCCATATTGCTTATGGCACCGATGACTTTTCTTTTTTTTGAGCGATATATCATTGCACGTTTTTCTCCCGTTCTCGATCGTTTCCATGCCGAGAGGCTCGTCCGACTCGCCGGGAATGATTCCTCCGCTTTTTGAGCAAAGACAATTGGAACCGGGACAACACGGGCTTCTCGAGAGTGACCACCACGAGTGACGAAGGAAGGAACACTAACTTGTACAGCTACGCTTACAGGTAAGAACTAGTTGAGCAGAGAAGTGGAAAAAACAACGACAGTGGTTCCACCACCGATATTGCTACCGAGCACGCATCTCCCGTTCACTCTATCGTAATTATTGCGATGAAACCGTGCGATAGAAAATGTCCGTGTCACATGAATACTCTTTGACGCGTGGGCTCCGCGAAACGGGGTGAAGAGAAAATCGTAGGATCTTCGGAGATCAGAGGAGGGACTGGTTCGTGTAATTAAGTTAGGTTGCTGTTCGATGAACGCGAACGAACCAGCGGGCACAGCGGACGAGAAGAAGGGTGATGGTTTCGAAGTCGGCGTTTCTTTTGTTCGGTTTTCTTCGTTTTCGTTTTTGATTTTTGCGCGAACGAGATGCATGGTAACGCGACGATCATTCGCGAAACGTGCGGCCGACGGTTTTTTTTTCTTTTTTTATTTCCGAGCGAACGTGTTCTCCTCGCGGTCAGTTCTCATGTGAAACGCGACATCACGCAACCGTGGCTATCCCTACAGCTGACCAGTGCTTCGATATTATTTTTAAAAACACTATTAACAATACAATTTGTTTAGTTTTTTTTTCTCGCCCTCGGTTTCGTTCTCTCTCTCTCTCTCTCTCTCTCTCTCTCTCGTAGTAAAAGTTAATAGAGAATAGTATAACATCAAATAGAAGAGTATAAAGAACCATGCTGGCGTATAGAGATAGACATTAAAGTAGATAATAGGTAAGAGGACAATAGATTACGATATCAATAATTCGTAATAACTTTTCACTTTTTTTTCTCCCTCGCCCTCGAGCTGCTCGGGCGCTCGATTCCTCTCTCGCGCGCGCTTATTAGTTTTTTTTTTTTAAACGTTTTGATGATCATTTAGTAGACTTTTTTTCTCTTTAATACAGTATTTTGAGCACATTCCTCAGGTGTATAACCACGCTACACTTTCTTCACCGAGTTGTACCAATATATCCCCATAGGTTACACCGTTTCGCTCGAACCTGGTGGCGGCAAATGAAAGCGACCGAAAAGAAATGTGAAAGTAACGGAAACAGAACAAAGAGAAAATATACAAGAAAACAGAGGAGACGAATGAAAGAAAACAGATGATAATAAAAAGAATCGGTTGCGTAACGTTCTCTCGGATGTTGTTTAAAGAAAAAGAAATGTATTTCTCGAAGGAGGACTCTCAAGTACACATTTGAACAGTAAAATTATTAATAAATAAATTGGCTAAGGTAACATTCATGCGTACCGGTCGCAAACTAAACGATACACATTAATTTAAGTAAAAACGAACTTTGGGCCATGGAGCTTGAAGCAACGATCGAACGCTGTCCAGCGATAAAACTTATAAATTAAATTAGTCGAGGTACACGACGACGATCGACGCGCGACATTTAAACGAGTGGACATAAAACAAAAGAAAACTTGTACTTAGTAAAAACGTACACCGCTCGACTCGTTAATCGTGCGCCAAAGCGCCCGACGTATGTATGTCGTTCGATCAAATGGCAGTACGATATCGGTACAACTCACTAGTTGATGGCACGGGTCCGCCTATGTACAAATACGTAATACCATATACCACATACCATTTAAATACATCACATATTTATCATTTTTTTTTCTCGTTATATATATACTCTCCATACAGATATACTCTTTTCTGTGACGTGGAGGGACTCGTTTGTACAATTCATGCGTATCTTCGTTACTGCTTCAGTGTTTCGTTTGTCACGCTTTCCCTAAGATCTGAGCTTCCGGCCACCGGCGCTATTTTCGATTCGCCCGCGTCGATCCAGATCCAGAGGCCGTTTCGTTAACTGCCTCAGAAGTTATATTTTTCCAAGAAATTAGACGGTAAACAATCGATTCTCTTCACCCGAACAAAACTGATCGTTCTAACTGCCATTTTTTTCTTTCCATACGAAATCATTTCTAAAACGATTAGAGATCATTCTCAAGGATCGAACAGAATGTGATCTGGATCCCTGGATCCGGATCTAACGGCGTCGCTCGCATCCAGCTTCCCTCGTTACCACTAACTACGCCGTTTTCCTCGAACCTCTAAGTCTGATTACGATTACACATACAATAATAATTATATTAGTAGAAACTTAGTTTCTGTAACAAGATGTATTGTCTTAAATGATATGTCTGCTAATTTTGTTGCATCTCGTCAACTCACGCCGCACCCGTGCCCGGGCCACATATAACAGTTCCGTTCCTTAAATGAACTTATTTTTAAGACTCGACCGTCTAGGATCTTATTTTATAGTTAATATAGATTTCTAGGGGTTTGGGGGAGGAGGGGTGGTGGGCCTGTTCACGCTGCCGACACCGATCACCGGTGGCCATCGCTCTAATCGTTCGCAAGATCGTTTTCTGGTCGCAAAAAACAAGTAATATTTCCATGGACCGTAATTTTTAAAACAATTCTGCAATCGTGCGCAATACCGAACGTCTCGAATTCTACATTCCCCCTCCAAAAAAACGGTGTGACTCGATCGTAACCAATGTTCGAACGCAACTCGACGCTCTCTCGTTCGTGGTATACGCGAAACAATGTGTCTGTCGCCTGTCGGACTTTCCGGATAGAACGTTGCCCTCCAATCATACACGCCACCGAATCGATCGGTTTTCGCCTGCAAACGAATTCCTCTCTCATTTCACCGGGAACATGCGTGGCCGGAACGTTTGTTTGTCTGAAAGATCGCGTTACATTGTTGCAAGACGGAAGGGTAGAGGCGGATGAGGAAAGATCACGGAACGTTCGAATACAAAGACACACGCAAAAAGACAGATCTGGTTCGCGGAGAGGCTTCGATAATATCCAACGGATCGCCTTCGACAGCCGGAAAAAGGGTACAGTGTGCTTTTCCTTTCTACTTATTTCTGCTTGTTGTTCTTTCTCCGTCGTTTCTCCGTTTCGCTCGTCGTTTCGCAGACACTCGCTCGCGAACGTAGTCTTTATCTCGCAGACTAAAAACAAGTGGAAGATTTAAAGCCATCCGTACATGTTCTTGTTTCTTTTGTTCGTTCGTTTCGTTTCGTTTTGTTTTTGTTTCTCTCGTTAAAACTTGGCAGATTTCATTATTATTTTTTTTTCTTCGTTTACTTTGTTAATGCATCCTCAGTCGCTTGCGTTTTACACGTGAAAAGTTTAAAAAGTTAAAATGTATATTCGTAATTTATTCCTTTTTTTTTCTTCCCTTTGATTAGGTAAAAGTTAATAAGAAGAAGAGTGTTAACAGTAACAATAGTTTTTTTTTCAAGGTAGAGTCAGAGCAGCTACGGCTGACGAGACGCTTGAACGACAATCCGGATCGACGAGTCAAATAGGTAAACCGAAAGGTTGTCGAACTGATTCGACAACGAAACAGAATTCTCGGATCTGTGTGAAACTGAATTTGTTTTCTCTTTGAAATTCGAACGAATGGAGAATGGTGAACGAAATGAATTGCGAATGAAACGAGGGTCGTAACAGAAATCGTTCAAGGCACCTTACATACAGGAACGTCGTTGCCTCTTACTCGGAATCTAATGGATCGAACTTGGTGGTCTCGCGGTCCGCCATTGCTCTTCCAAGAGTTTCGCCATAGTAGTCCCTAGTAAGGTAGAAAATCAAGCCAAGTATATATATTTTATTTCTATATAGATCCCTCCTAAAACAACCTAAAACCTAGCCTACGTGTTTTGCGTTAAAATTCACTTTGAATTGTACATACAGACACTGATGTTAAATATGTACAGACATGTACACCCATTATGTACATATAGAGCCGTGTTTCTAATGATTCGTTATGGCGAATAATATTTCATTCTCTTTTAAATAAACTTATCTCTCTCTTTCTCTCTCTCTCTTTCTCTCTTTCTATCTTTCTCTCTTTCTCCCGTTCTCTCTTTGTCCCTTTCACTCTCTCACTCTCTCGCTGTCTCTACCTCGCTTGCCTGTCGTTCGATTATGTATACAATGTACTCATGGCTGTATGTATAATCGTTTATGTTACATTCCGTGGTCGACGGAATCGGTCCGGCTGGTCACCGAAGTGAAACTTGAACAACTTGTCTCCATTCTCTAGAGAGCCTAATTTTCTTCACCCTAAGCTACGAATCATTTTTGTCAATTACATCGATCTGTTTATACATATGTATAATGTGTGTGTATATATATAATATATATATATATATTAAAATTTTTTTTATTTAGACGAATATAGTTAATATATATTAAGTAACAGAGGTAACAAAAATCGGGGAGGTTCAACAAATCTACGAACGTCTTTTCCGACGAGGATCGCATGCTCATCGAGACTCTTCGATACTCTAATGATATTCAAAACTAAGTAAGAACTAGAGCGAACGTGCAACAAGTGGTATTCTCATAGGATCGCCGGGACAGATCTTGCAGATTGATCCGCCGTTCTCGAGCCTAAGTGATCGCCGATCCGAATTCGATCGTTGAGAACGGTGTTCAGCTTGCAAGTCGGTCCGACCGACAGCGAATCGATTAAAACGCGAAAAGAAAAAGAAAAGGAAACAGAAAGAAGAGAACAGTAAAAAGAAAAGAGGAAGGAGTAGAAGAAGAAGAAGAAGTAGAAGAAGAAGAAGAAGTGGAAGTAGAGAGGTAGAAGTAGAAGAAGAGCAATTCGAGAAAAACAAAATGAAAGAATGATCAAAGAGGCAACAGGTAACAGTAATGTCTTGTGGCACAATCTGGGAACATCATCGCGTGCGAATAGCAATTAGGTACATCGAAAACCGCGATTACATTACAGCACACTCGTCGTGAGAGGAATCTCCTCTCGCCTAATTCTAGTCCCGCTGTCGCGTACCCTAACTCCGCCTTATCTCCTACGTCGTCGCTCTTCTAGGCCATTTGTTCGCCGACGGAGGTTCGTCCGCCAGTCTGATTCAACTCGAAAAACGGAAAACACCGACGGGATCCTGGCGAGTCCGAGGGATCGGAGCCCGCCGGTCCCGTGACGGCGGATTTTTGGGACTTCCGGTACCCTGTCTCCTCGCTGAACAGACCCGTCCAAGTGCAAACGACTGTGTCCTTGGGACACCGTCTCTCTCTCTCTCTCTCCCCCCTCTCTCTCTCTCTCTCTCTATCTCTCTCGCTCTCTCGCCAGGTCTCGTTTCGAATGCAGCAGGAAAAGATAGATCTCGTCGTCGGTCGCCACGATTCCACGGCGACAGAGGTGCTCTCTCGCTTCCGGTGGCTGTCTCGTGCACGCTGCTAGTTAGGTAAACTTAGTATGGCTGGCCTGGCAAAGAACTCTCGCGGTTGCTCTCGCTTCGTTCAGGTCCATAGCGCGTAGAAGAGGTATTCTCGTTTTGGAACTATCTATCGTGGAAGTCTTCGGCTTTCTCCATTTGACTCCGCGGCTCCGATGGACAAAGAGCCGTCCACGGTGGTGGTCGAACGATTCTCAAGAATCTCCGATCGCGGTTGTATAAGTGCCTGCCTATATAGCTTGCGCGACCATCGTAATTTCTCTTTCCCTACCGTACCGTTACAGCCTTCGTTAAGGTAACTTAAGTTTAACCGGTTCAGCCTCGTCCTATGGTGGCCTGAGCCGCGTCGGGTTGTGCCATAAATGCGCCGTACTCTGAGCGCCGGTGTCGCCGTTGCTGGGAGGCAGTGGCTGCTGATTACTGAAGTCTGGGGTCTGCGGTGAAACGCTGCTCGATTGCAGCTGTTGCTGTTGTTGTTGTTGTTGCTGCTGCTGCTGCTGTCGCTGTTGTTGAAGCTGCTGCTGCTGCTGTTGTTGTTGCTGTTGCTGTTGTTGTTGTTGTTGCTGCTGCTGGCTGGACTGCTGATGTTGAGACTGCTGCGATCTAGCCTGCTGCTGTTGTTGCTGCTGCTGCGCTGGCCGCTTAGAGTCCTGACCCGTTGTATCGGGCGATGGCACCGGCCTGTGAGATTTCATGTGCGCGCTTCTGCTTTTCACTTTGTTGAAAACTCTGCAAGACACATCGAAGCTTGTTGTTAGAACGGTGATTCGCTTGCTGGGTGGAGAGGCGTACAATTTGGTCGCTGTTCTAGGGGAACTGATGACGATGGGCTGTTTTGTTTTTATATCTGGTAAGAAATCGTCGAGTCCAGGGATCGAAAGCAAAATCGCGCGACTTGACGATAGGTACTTTTGGATTTCGATCGGCGGTATTAAAAATCTTTTCAATCCTCGCAGCAAACACTGAAAACTGTTCGACGAATAATAAGAGAATGATATTAAATAATGGTTTTGTTTGAAATATTTACGAACTTCGCGTACATTTCTCTTGTAGAATATTCTTTCAAATTCAAATGTGCGTGTCTGATAGAATCGAAATGTCTGTTAAAATTGAAATGTTACGGAGCACAAAAAGAACAGCTGTTTCATATGAGTTTATAAAAGTAACAATAAGACATTTATTCTGATTTTTAACAAATGTTACTGTAACATTTGCCGTAAGTAACATACAAATTGAATAAACAACTCAGAAATGTATCTTCACGATATGAATGATCGTAAATTAAAAAATTAGTGACCCATCATTTTGACGGGTTCCGTGAATCTAGTGTTAATAGAACCGACTTTTAAAGAAATTCCAATAGCTATCCTTTTCTTCTACATCTAGAACGTCTGGAACAAAGTTTGTTTAAAAACGAAATTTCATTGTTCATTTCGATCCCTGGTTTGGTCAGTTTTCGAAAGATTCGTTTGCTTCATCCGGTGAGTACGAGAATCGTTTTAGTTCGTGTTTGTTGTTTCAGGGACAACGATGTTGGTATGGACATTGAGCTAATAGTGACAGATCATGCGTGTGATATGCTGTGATAAGAATGTTGGTCCTACGTGAATGATCGAAATGTTTTTTTGTCGATAGAATTTCTCTCCTCGATGAAAATATCGGTTCGAAAAGAAAGTAGTCTTTGAACAGCAGGAAAAATAGTTTCATCTAACGCTACCGAGAGTACAAAGGCTTATCGAAGGTGGTTGCTACTTGCGAGTCCATTAGAGTAATAGTGTAACAACGATATATGAATGTAAATTGCTATAAGAATGATCGTAATGCTAGTATTTGTCAGATAGAAGAAAAAATAAGATAAATACACATTGACACAATTATTTGAATCTGAATGATGCAAAATAAAGAAACGAACATCTATAATGTACAGTGTGGTTGTGATCATTTCTCTAAAATATATCCAGTTTGCTGCTACAACTTTAGAACAGTCTGTGATTATCGTGTTAACAACTCAACCATTCATCGAAAAGCCATGTTATTGTGAATCAGCAGCAAATAGGATGCAAGCGTCGCTATGAGTCATTCTGTGGGGACTGTATTTAGAGTACAAAATGTTAATAAATATCAGGGACAAATTTTGTTCACATTCCAATAGACGATGTTTTCTAATAGTTCATAAACATACAAATTTCTTAAGAACTTCAAAATCTCTAAGTTACACGAAGATTGCGGAATTTTATGTTATATGGAAATTTCTAGAGAATTTCATCTCGATGAAAGAAATTTTGAAAGTTAACATTAATTTCGGAGAGTATAATTTAGAGTGCCGAAATTTCGAAAGTACCTGTCAGTTGTTAAAGGGCTGGATAAATAATTCTTGGCAGAAATATTAATAATTTGATTTGCACCGATTTGCGATTGCATTTGTGCAATTAATGCAAAGTCGACGCCGCCTGAGAATGACCGTGATATTTATTAACAGTCGGAACATGTAAATTCGGCACTGCGGCTGGCTCGGTTGCTCTACATGGCTCGAGAACGTGTACAGGAAGGCTCTCTTTCTCTCTAGAAGCGAGGGATACGTCAGCTATGTGTTGTGGATGTATTTATCTATTATGGTGTCTCTGCGCGTGAATACTTGCCGCTCGTGCCGCCATTTTGACGGGGCACGTTGTGTCAGTGGCCGGCCGTCGTATTGTTCGGTTTTTGGTTTCTTTTCTTTTTTTTTTTTAATCGAATGGATAATTTAGATTAGAGATTGGAGACTTACTTCCCGCAAATCTTGCAGGGGTAGTGAAGTGGGGTGGGCACGGGTAGTTGTTGCTCAGAACTAGTGTGAGTTTGTGAGTTGGTGTTGACTGTGGCGTGGCCGGTATTGCCGGTTTGGGCGGTTTGGGTGCTGCCGGCCATCGTTACTGTTACACTTCCGCTAAAGCTCTGATAACACAAAGAAACACAAAGCAAAAATAAACAACACAAACAAACAACAACGACGACAGATAAGTAAACGCCAGTGGTCACGCACAACGCACAACACGACTCGGTCCATCGTGAGAATAGAGAAGCGTGAAGAAACGACAGGTCAACAACAAATCACCATGCGACACTTAAACGTTCACACGTATGTACGCATGTATAGTGGTCTTGGACGCGGTGCACGCGCGGTAAACCGCCCTCGAGTTTGGGATCGTTCGTTTTTCACGAAGCAGCTCGTATCGAGACAACTTTACTTATCAAACATGAATCATCGCTAATGTTTATCAACAGTCCTTATTACCGATACCTCTATCTTCATGGTCCGGTCTTTCCTTCTTTTACCAAGTGTTAAAACCTTTCAAGTTTAAGTCGTTTTTTGTTATCGTTAAAAATATAATCTATGGAAGTCACTTTCAAAGATTCAATTCACTTATAAAAATTCAATGTATAGACGTTACTTGCAAAAATTCTATTCTTAACGGTCACCTTTACAAATTGAGTTTACAGAAGTCACTCGTCAGAATACAATTTGTGGAAGTGGCATTTGAAAACTTTACTTATAACAGTCATTATCAGACTGATTTAAGCAAACTCTTTCATTGCATCTCTATTCTTTATCTTATTGTATCTGCAATATTTTGCTTCCATATTCTAATGTACCATAATTTACAGTATCTATGAGTACGATAAAAAAATGTTTCTGTAAATTTTTAGCGAAGAAGTGCGAGATTCGATAGAGACAGATGATCCCAGACTTTCGAGCTGTAGTGTACACCGAGCACGAATCCAGATTCTTTGACAATTGCCTAGAAATTGTCCCAAATGAAGCTAGGCCTGTGCGAATGATTATAAATAAAAAATTCTGTCAGAGGTTTCGCACTCGGTATTCGTCGATTAATAGTTTAGATATATGTTCGATTAAAATAGTACAGACAAGTGATCGAGCAGCCTCGACAATTGTCCGGAAAGATAACAATCATTCGGTAGGAAAGTATTATTAAACATGTTATATCGATGTATATTTCTAGTCTGGAAGCGATGAGAATTATGTTACGTTAAGCAACTAACGGAAATGTTAATTCGCCGTTTTATAGTAAGAACACAATAGTATATCGTTATCGCCTCGATCAATTCGACTCTTTGCATATGTAAAGCTTGTTTAGAATAAAATGTAAAGGGAACCAGAAAGCGACGGTACTCACATCAGGACAGTCATACGCGAATAATCTCAGCTCTCCATCGCTGGTTGTCAAAGTAGCAGAATTTTCTCTCTCGTTTGTCTGCAACTAAGCAGAAACAGAAATTAAAATTTCAACGTAATCTCATTGAAAACAACAAATGCTCGTCGCTGGAGCTGTTCCTTAACATTTCAGAAAAAATCAACTTCTGTAAGATAAAATATTTTCAGTTTAACATCTCGATGATTCTTTCGAAAGAATGCTAATTTTCATTCGTGTCCGCTAGTTTTTACGGATACAATAATTATGTCTTCTATGCCTTTTTCAAAATTACACGATAACGCACGTATACGTTTTATACATACGTGAAAATACGTACGTATTATAATTTACTGATTGGTTATAGCCATCAAAACGTTTTGTAAAATCAAATTGTTTTACAACAACCTTGATTTATATCAGGTATTTTAGGTGCACTATTTCCTCTGAATATAATAATTATGCTTTCTATGCATACGATAATTATGCTTTCTGCAAAATAGATTTTCAAGAAGATAATGCACGCATACATTTTATACGTACGTTAAAATGTGGATGTATTATAATTTACTGGTCGCTTATTGGTATTAAAACATTTTTTAAAGATCAACTTAAATCTATGATTTATACAGAAATTATGGAACATTTAATAAAAAAAAATTACAACGTTGCTCTAAATACAAGTGTTCTTCAAGAATTTTGATAAAGCAATTGCTACTGTTTGAAATTTCGTCTACCAAGTTTCTTTTTATACGTACAAAATTCGTAGTTCAATGACAAGTATTCTGCGAGAAGTCTTACCAGAGTACGATGGAGGATCGACTTGTCATCACTGAAGTCCATCTCCGTGACCGATGCTATGGCATCGCGAAGTTCCCTCGTGTCCTTGCAATCTCTGTTCTCTGTCTTAATCTTTGGTTTTCCATGGCGGACACGTAGTCTCTTATACTCGTCCGGGCAGAGTCTCTTCCATAGATAATAGAATTGCACGCACTGTTTCGCGGACTTGCCACCCACGTCCCGCGAGATCGCCGAGAAGTCCTTATTATACTTCAGGAGGCTTTGATAGAACGCGTCCATCTCCTGCGTTGTCCATCGATCGGATTCCTGGCACTCGTAATTCAGAAGCGGATGTCCTGTCGGCAATATTGGTGTTGGTCTCATCAGCTTCAGCATCGCTTCCTGTAATCGCACAACAAATTTCATTGTTAGTCGTATCTACGCACTCGCCGAAGACACTGTAACTTGACGCTGAACCTACCGTGCCGGTCAAAATGACCGGACTTACAATTATTATTTTCAATTGCGAAAATTATGCGGACACTCTCGTAGGAAACGATTGATTAAGTTCTTTTATTTAAGCTTAGATTGTATTCCTATTTTAAAGAATAATGTTTCAAATCTGCCCTATTATTAATATCAAGGCGTAAGCATAATTTATTAAGTATGATACAGCTATGTCAGCGTAATATGTGTTTAGTTAACTTTTATTTTATATAATAAAAGATTTTGTCTTCTTAATTTGATGCAAATTTATAAATCGGACAATCATTTCAATACGGAAGGAGTAATAAAAATGATAAAGACTTTAAATAAATTCCGTCTTGTCATTCCTATGAAGCAGCACACGTTTGTTACTTAGCGTTAAAATTTAGCGTTTCGAGCGAGCAATCTTCTTCCACTATTATGCATTAATATTCCGTGTGTAATAAGTAGACTGGGAATTTTGTGCATTTATGGCAAATACGACCTAGTAAAATATAGTTTGTTAATTCTACTTAATAATAAATAGTGACTCAATTATACGCAGTTTATCTTTCGGTGAATTTTATAATAGTTTAAGGAATTTTGGAAATGGTACGCGTCACTATAAAGATGAACAAAAAATGGTGGCACTCACATGGATGTTTCCTCTGCACATGTGCAGCAGATGAAGCGCGTACTCTTTATTTCTTCCTCCACCTGGCACCGCGGCGCAGCACGCAAATTGCAGATACATCTCGACTGGAAAAAAAGCAATTTTTCACTTAGACATATTCAGAATAAACAGAATAATGCGTCGGTACTGCACAGAGAAACATACAAGCCGAGTCATTCAGCCTTTTCACCGTAATTTTTCTCCCAAACTAAACGTTGCATAAAAAGATTAACGCTAGATTCACGGAGCACTAAAAGCAGCTGTTTTATATTAGTTTATAAAAGTAAAAATAAGACATTTATTCTTTATCGAGTATTACTGTAACATTTACCGCAAGTGACACATATATTGAATAAATAACTCATAGACTGCGGGATTTTACGCATTCGTGGCAAAAATTAGTAGTTGAAATATAAAATTATAAAGCCACGAGAAGATTTAAATAAAATATTGTTACACTATTTTCAACTTAAGAAAATTACTAAAAGAAACAAGTTGTTTTCATTCAATTTCTGTTTCATAAAATCGTCTTGGAAAATTTTTGTTTCGCATAAATTTTGACCTAGTGTTAATAGTAAAAAATTATTTGTTGCTATGTATATATATATACATTCGTTCGAAACGTTCTTTCATACAATATGTAGATTACAAGAAAAACTAATGTAAAGGAATTAAACGGCTCGCCTGTACATTCAAATTATTAAAATCAAAGAATCGAATTTCGAGTTTCATAAAGAAAAAAAAACCCGCAACAGAAGACCAGGAAGAGTGCGAAAATAAGGACTCACGTTCGCTGTCGGTCAGCACGTTGTTAATACCAGGGTCCCAAAGCAGATGATCAGCCTCGGGTTCGCCCTTTCCTCTATCACCGTCGCTGCCTATAGGTGGTATCGTAGCCTGATACCTAGTCCCGATGTTGATCCTCGGCGGAGGTCCATCGTTGCCTTGGGAGTCGTCCGAGCTGAAGTCGGAGTCTCTCTCGAACTGATGTAGCCTGGCATAGAGGCCTGGCCCAGGCCGGGAGGGGTCCAAGATCGGTGGCGGTGTGTAGCTGCTGTCCCAGTGTCTGTCGCAGGCCTTCCTGAGCCTCGAGGGGTAAGAGTGCGAGGAGCTGGTGTAGAGGCCGCCGTCCATGCGCGGCCTTTTCCTACAGTGTCTGACGGGACTTCCGGTCGGTATGCTGCTCGGATTCAAGAAGAGGTCGTCGTCCAGCAGCTCCTCCTTGATCTGCTCGATCGGTACCGGCAGGCTACCGCTGAGCGTCTTCTGCCGCATGTTGCTGTTCTTGGCCGTGTTGGTCTGGATGAGGAACTTGCTCGGGTTGACGACCTGCTGCTGGTTGAACTGTCCGACGTTGTACTGATGGTTGGTCTGCACGTTTAGGCCGATGTTAACGGTGACGGGCTCCACCTTGGGCGTCGCCAGGCGCACCTCCTTCTTGAAGGCCAGAGCAGGGCTGAGGGAGCCGGTCTGCACCAGCACGTTCGTCTTCTGCAGGCCCGCCGTCTGGATCAGCTTGAACTCGCCGTTGTTGTCGACCACGATGCCGGCCAGGCTGCCGTTCCCTAGGCCGAAGTCGACCAGGTTCTGGCTGGTGATGAACTTGTACGACTGGAACTCGAACCGCCTGCGGCTGGCCGTGGTGAAGTCCTTCGGGGTCGACGAGAGCAACGGGTCCTCCGAGTTCGGCATCATCTGGTTCTGCAGAGCGTGATGAGGCGACACCGGGAAACTCGTGCTGGTGTACGAGACGGGTCCCGGCGAGGACACCGAGGACGGCGGCAGGGAGGACAACGGCGACGGCGCCGGGGTCGCAGACAAAGGGCTTGGCAGTGGCGAGTGAGGGTTTGGGGATCCGGACCCGTACAGGTCCGCGTCCGCGTCCGATTCGCCTGGCAACACTTCGCTTAGCGCCTCCTCCACTGCCGCTGCGGAGGACATGGTCGACGTATAAAATGCTGCGGACAGCGGCGACGAGACTTGTCTGACGCTCTCCGGGTCCTCTTGCGGGCTCAGCAGGGGCAAGCTGCCGGTCAGAAGACCCTCCTGGCTAGCCGGTGGCGTTGGATATGTAAAGCTGGGACTGTCGTGTCTGGTTAACGGCGACGGCAATGGGGACTGCGTCGGCAGCGTATGCGGGCTCTCTGTGTATTGGGCACCGTATGTACTGAATTCGGCTAATGAGTCGGGCAATGGGGAGTTCACTAGAGCCTGCAGGTCTGGATTGACAGTGTGCTGCGCGGGGTATCGATCCTCCAACGCGATATCCTGCAGCTGCTCCGTTGGCTGTTCCTGGAGCAGGCTTGCCGTCTGAAACTGAAGGAGGAGCCTGTCAGTGGGTCTTGCGTTTGATCATCGATAGGTAAACCTTTCATTAGAGAAACCGGCCGCAAGATACGCTATCTATAGGGTGGTCTCTAGCTATGTCTTACCTTTCTAAACTATGACATTTGCGGAGAAACTGTCTTCAGACACCCCCCCCCCTTTGGTAGAAATAATACCAAATACATTTCTCACTTGGATCTAGCGTTACCGATTTTCTTGCGAACTGAACGTGAACTACATTCTTACGAATCCAGCATAGTGTTTTGGAGCCGATTACTGTGACCAATTGCTGGGTCTTTGACTCGTTTTCGGGCACAATTGTCTTCACATTTATCGAGTAAGACACACATTAAACTCTTTTTATTCCTTCACTTTCTTTACTTCCTGATATGTCTTAAATATTGTTAAATTAAATGAAATCGTTCGATAAGTAGAAGGTTAATCATGCCCGAAGACACAGAATAAAGGCATAGTAACCGGCTTCGCTGCTCTGTCGTAAAGCAGTCAATTAATTTTAATTTCGACTGTTTCTCTGCCTCCCGAAATCGTCGGAACCTTCCATCGATATGGAAATTCCGTCTTCGACGATTCTCGAGTTTTAAATTCCACGGGATTAAATTAATTCACGGCCGAACGGTACCATAAAAATTGAATTTGCGAAGGGGGAGCGGTCGGATAATCCTGAAAAGTTCGCGGGATGATGGCATTTCAAGGGCCAAGGGTGGGGGGAGGGGAGGGAGGAGGAAGAGGAGATAGGGCATGAGATGCAGGCATTAGGGAGGAATCTCTAGTATCCGTAGGTCAGACATTAACGAGACCACTCGAGGAGGAGAGGTTCGAACCGTGGGATGCGGAGATATCTGGTTGTAGATAGGTCGGCTGGGTAGGCGCTTTTCAAATGGCACAAAGCGTCGCTGCAAGCATCGTTGGCGCAGTCGTGCCAGCTACTTAGATAATTCGTCTTATTAAATTTCTGCGTCGAGAAGGCCGGGCGGCCCGATCGCGGCGTAATTGAAACTAAAGCGTTTTCAGCGTTCCGAGACGCGGGACGAATAATGAGACTCCGGGAATTAGGCTGTCAAAGGTTCCCCGGGATATCGTGTCTCGACATGCCGGCGTCCTCTCCTTTCTCATCCACTTGTTATTTTTCACTCTGTGTACCGGCTATTTCAATGGAGCTGTAAATTAATTCTCAACGAGTCTGAGGGAGCCTGTTTTTAGAATCCTTCACCTTCCCTCGGCTCTCCGCGTTTCTATAAACAGTGCACCTACCGTAGATTAATTTTCATTGTCCCTATTGATGACTCTCTATTGTGAAAATTGTTCACGCTTCGCTCAAGATTTTCTATCAAAGACGTTCGTTATTCATTAAATCGTCTACTGTTAAGGGGAAATGACTGATTGTTTGCCGAAAGAAAAAATAGGATCGGAGGTGTAGCAGAGAATATTGAATCGAAAATACATTTGCGAACGTATAAGCAGTGCTTTTGGAAATGATGATAGTCTCGTTTGAGGCATGTCTTTATATTCTTGCAGTTTCGTTCGGCAATTGCTTATTTACCTTGAACCCTTATCAATTTAGTGAAAGCAAAAACACGTTTGCCCGGTGACTCATAGTGGGTAGATGCGAACACAAGATTCTATGTAGTTGCGTCGAAAGTTAGAAAGATGAAGAAAGAAAAGTGAACGGAGCTTCAGGTTGATCTTGTAGGTAAACAAATGTGAAAGAATTGTAAATAATCGATATTTTGAAGAAAGAAATATAAACTGGAGGGATCGTCCTACCTGAAGCGAGTCCAATTGGGTAGCATGAAGCAGGACACTGTCAGGAACCGCGGTGACCTGCTGGAACACTTCATCTTGAAGACTAGGGCTGAAGTAACCGCCATCTTCGGAGTAACCTGTCATGGAGAAGCTGTCTGTGACAGTTGGCTGGGACTGGGGCGGGTTGTTCTGTTGTTGTTGTTGTTGTTGTTGTTGTTGTTGTTGCTGCTGCTGCTGCTGCTGCTGCTGTTGCTGTTGCTGCTGTTGCTGCTGCTGTTGGTTTGTCGTCGGCTGCACCGATGTTTGGTACGTCAAGTGTAATCTCTGCCCGGGATCGGAAGTTGTTCTCTTCGCAGCCATTTTGGTAGTGCCCTGCAATTACCGATATGTTTTACGCGTCGTTCTCATCGGATCAATCGGTTTGAGATTTGTTACATTTTCAATAAAGAGCGACTTAAATAATCAACAAATATATTTATATTAACACGTTAAGCGCCGAATATCGATCCCAAAAATTTCCACAACGTCGAAGTCATTTAATTAATGAATCCGATACTAGAATCTTAATATTCGTAACATTCAAGTACTGTAATTGAACGATTTCGCTGGTTACACTATTACTATTATTATTACTATTTATAAAAATAGTAACATTCGATTCGTTCGATACATTACAATAAAAATGAATTTAATTAAAAATTAGTGTCACCGTGGCTTATTTAGCGACAGTTTCGTAGAACTGTTTTTCGTAGAACTAACTTTCAAGGTCGAAGATCAACAGCCATAATTTATCGAATTATTTGGGTAAATATGACGCACGACATACATTTTTGTCGATATACGACAACAATGAATACTTGTGGAAATTAGTGTACCTTCAAGATCATATCGGCCAGCGCCTGCGCCTGTGCCTGCGTTTGCGCTTCTTGCAGTTGTTTCTGCACGGTTGCATGACCTCCGACTGTGATGTTAGGCTGCCGGAAGTGTTCGCCATCGGAAAGTCTGCGGGCCTTCTCCGCTGACGCCAATGGCGGCGGCGCTGGGACCGCGAAGCTCGTTTTACCGGCGACTTGAGACGCGCCGTCAGTTTGCGTTGTGAAAACGGTCGTGGTTGTGCGTGGCTGTTGATTCGTGCTGGTGTCCGCTGCTGCAATTAAAGAAACTTCTTCGTTAAAAACTTCGGCAATACCACTGCTCCGTCAGCATCGCAATTAATGTTACACTGTACTTCAATTGTTTAACCTTTTAGGTGCGGCTGAATTCTGCGCGAGGCTATTTCTCTGGACGGCAGAGTCTGATATGTACTGTACAGAGTGTCTGTCTATTCTGTCTGTATATTGTTAAGATACAGTTATATTGTTAAGATAAGTCTGTATATTGTAAATCGATGTGAAGACAAAAGAAGTGTGAAACAATGCATATGAAGACGATTATTTGATTCAAACGATGACCGAGTGAGCTACTAGAGTAAGCCACTATAGTGGCGCGTCGTTCAGAGAGATGACATCCGCGAAAGCCACTATAGTGGCGCGTCGTTCAGAGAGATGACATCCGCGGAAGCCACTATAGTGGCGAGTCGTGCCTAAAAGGTTAAGTCTTATCGGACCAAGATGGAAATCCTTTCAGCACAATCCTTTCGCATTGGCTAATTCAACCGTGGTCTGTCTACACTGAACAGCACTAACGAAGCAACTTAATGTTCGTTACATGATTAATGTTTGTTATAAATCCGTATCGGACCAATGTCGTCATATACGCGGCAAAGATCAATGAAACCGCAAAACCTGGCAGGAAACTTTGGAAGAATAGATAATTTCGATAAAGATATATACGAATGAATTTGTATAAAATAAATAGTTTTTTCTATATTTGATATAAAAACCTCTAGCACACATACTTTCTGTCTGTATCAAAAATAGCTTCGACCCGGCGGTATGTAAACTTGAAATACTTCTGGTCCTCTAAAGGTTAATAATGTTGCAGGTGGTATCGCATTAAAACATTGATAAATAGTAGCTGGATTAGGATGAGCGCCTGAATCATTTACTACAATCGATCCTACATATTTTTCTTCTCCACGATGTATGAATAATCTAGATTCAAGATATTATTGTCAGACAATTAACGCTTTATTTACCAGAAGCCAATGAAAAGGATTTTTGATGACTGAGCCATTTGTAAACGTAGCTCGACAATTTCCTCTTAAATAATAATTTCGAAAGAACTTGTCGGATTATGAATGAAGTTTCTGTCATTTTTGAACAATTTCCACAGAAGTTTTCGTCTATTGAGCCTTGATTTCAAAATGGTTAGGAAATTGCCGCTAGATAAAGTGTGAACAGCATGAAAATTGCGGCAAGTATTTTTCTTTCGCAAGAGATGAGAAAAAACGCCAACGAATGCGGCAAGTAAACGAGTATGAATCTGCTGAAATTTTGAATTTGTTTTCCCAACAGCTAGTTACAGGAAACTGTAAAGACGAGTTGAAGGAATATGTACCGAGATACTGACAAACAGGATTACCATGCACAGAGCGCGCAAGAAAAATCTATCCGAGTTACCGCGCGAAATAATGAAAATCGCGATATTTCCATACTGAGATGAAGTTACTTATGAGAGATACTCTAAGGTGGATTCAAACGACGAGAGATTACAGCGGACTGCTGTATCGAAAGGATTAAACAGTCACGCAGTATAAAGGGTCAAAGAGCCGCTATTGGATTTACAGGAAACGGAGTAAATCTCCCAGTAAAACTCGCGAGTCGCAGCGTTCCACTCGTTTTGAACGACAAATTGCAGAGCGGCCAGGAGGATACCGGAGAGAACCCGAGAGAATCCGAGAGCCGGATGAAACGTTCGTTGGAGGAAGATAGGGAGATCAGTGAACGCAGTAATACGATTCGTCCTTCTTCCGGTTCCGTACGTATTGGCTTCTATTATGACGTTAATATGAATTAATCGTATTGCCGGTTAAGCGAACAAGCTTCACGGACCGGCTCCAGTTTATGGGGAATAAATTATGACGACTGCGAGCTTCTTAGCACGGGAGACCGTCCCCCTCGTTCGTTTCTGCGTTCCTTAATCCGCCCTTTCACGGCCGTACGGATCTGGAATGGGAATAATCTTGCCGGCAAATGGTTTTAATCGTGTCTCTGGTCGTAGGAAGATGATTCCGACTATTTGGAAAAATCTCATCCGGACGACGCGACGCCACGGTTTTTCGTACACGCCGAATTTCTATCTAACTATGCGGCCAACGGTTTTTCCAAGCGTATTCAATTTTCATCCGTTCTCGAAACGTTTCTGTGAACATCGAGAAATGATTTATGCTGTTGGACGAGGTGATTTGTCATTTGGGTTCACCATCGCTGTAGATTTATACGCGTTTCTGTTGTTTATACATTTTTTTAAATAGAGATGGGTATGTATATTGACAAACGTTAATTATTCCACTTCTAAATTAGTAATTTTCTTAAGATTCTAAAATAAATTTTACAATATAATGTAATATATATATGAAACTTGAGACTTGAAACTTCTGTATTGTGCCAAATTTCTAGTTAAAACGACGGACAATATCGCTGAAAATATAAACGAGCATCCTCAGGATCATTTATAATTTTATTTATCGATTTTCTTAAGACGTTTTTTAAGGCATTCCTTCTAGACGCGTTGGCTTTTCTATAGACCTTAACGAAGCATGCGAAGATTGCAATTAATTGTCAGAAACTAAATACTGAAACAATATTTAAATAATAATATTTTCAATATTTATGCTCCGGACCCAAATACACCTGGTCTTCTCTGTTCGGAATGTTAAACAATATTCTCCATTTCTCTTTCCCATAGATATATCTACACGTAATTTAATAAATATATTTTACTTGGAAAAACGCGGATAAATTCGCGAGCAAAACAATTCTAGGCGTCGTGATTCGCGGCAAAAAAAAAAGTAAAATAAATATCCATTCGATGGACATTCCAACTTGTCGCGCATAACTAAATAAATCCTTATACACACGAACCATAAATCATTACTCCGCGTATAAATTATCATTTGCGCGAAACAAATAAATAAAACGTTACTCGTATTTATTTATCTGTCTGCAATAAACCATAGCAACCGCGGTATGTATTTTTATCTGCGTTCCCCCCGACAAGCGAAAACGTATTATTCGTATTTATTTCGGTGCAGCGCACCGCAGCCCTGCTGCAACATTTACACATTTCCCGTCCACGGGCGAACAGAAACACGGTGCTAATCTTCCTTTTTGCTTTACGAGAAGCCGACTTATGGCCGCGCCGGCCGGTAGAATGGAGAATCGGTTCCATCAATATTTCCGTTCGCGTTCGAGATTGACGTTCAGCGGATCCGCGAAGACACAGTATTGGCCGGTGAAAAATATATTTCGGGGCGTGAAGCGTCGTTTACGACGGCGCCGTAACCCCGACAGATATAAATGCGTGCATTTCCTCGAATGGGGCGCGCCGCGGGATGGCCGAGGGTTGGACGGGTTCGGACGGGGTTCGGACCGGGCCAGAGCGAAGAGGAAATGGGATCCGCCGAGTGCCGCGCGGCAGCTGTATCGCAACGAAACTTTTCGACGACGATTCCATGAATATCTGGCCTTCCTGCTGGCTTCTAGCCCACCGGCAACCTACTTCCTGCCTTGTTTCGCCTCCTCCGGCGTTATACCGATCGTCGCTTAACGTTCCAAGCGTTTTTGCTGCTCGTCGCCGCGCCGCCGTCGACGTCGTCGTCGCGGCTCGGTCTACGCTCGCTAATAAATCGACCGAAAGAAATTAATATCCGCCGTCTCCGAACGACTCCGATCGCTCGACTATTGCTGTTCAGAGGTAAATTGAAATCGCTCGGACCAGCTTTTATCCCGCCCGAGGAAATAGAGACGAGCCCGACGTAACTTCTCGCGCGTAAATCAGTAAGGTGCAAAGGCCGAACCGTGTAACGAGACCCGACGCGATTCCCGCTTCCGGCATTACTCGCTTTTCGATCGTTCTGCGCGGAATCATGTTTAAAATGAACGTATTTTCCGAGAGATTGTTTGCTGAGGACATTGTCCGATTCGAGGTAATCGTTCATTTGCCGAGAATCACGATCGCTCAAACTATCGTGGAAACACGAGTGTTCGTTGAATGTTTAACGACTGATGCTATATGTTGCGTTATCGTATCATTTGTTTATTCTAATTTTATTTATCATAATAAGATTTTACTCGAATAAGAATTCATTCGAATAAAGAAATATTCGAATGAAGAATAATATATATATATATAACTTATTACGAATAATGAATACTCGTTATTCGAATAAAATATTCGACTAAAAAGTATTCATATAATTATCTTAATCTTTTAGATACGCCTGAATTCTGCACGAGGCTATTTCTCTGGACGGCAGAGTCTGATGTGTACTGTACAGAGTCTGATACTGTATATTTTGTCTGTATATACAGGGTGTCCCAAAAATGTCTCGCAATCCGAAAGTGGCGAGTTCCTCGGGTCATTTGAAGCAACTTTTTCCTTTACAAAAATTTTCTCCGAGGCACCGTTAACGAGTTATTAACGAAAAACAGTGACTAGCGGTCGAGCGGTCGAATCCCAGCTCAGCTGGCGCGAGTCGGCCGAGCCAACGGCGCCAGCGGTCGAGCGGTCGAATCCCAGCTCAGCTGGCGCGAGGCGGCCGAGCCAACGGCGCCAGCGGTCGAGGCGGTCGAATCCCAGCTCAGCTGGCGCGAGGCGACTGAGCCAATGAGCGGAACTGGGCTTCGCGCGCTGTTTGGCTGGGCCGCCTCGCGTCAGCCATAATCGATTCTTATTGGTCACTGTTTTTCGTTAATAACTCGTTAACGGTGCCTCGGAGAAAATTTTTGTAAAGGAAGAAGTTGCTTCAAATGATCCGAGGAACCCGCCATTTCCGGATTGCGAGACATTTTTGGGGCACCCTGTAGACTGTTGTAAATCGATGTGAAGACAAAAGAAGTGTGAAACGATGCATATAAAGACGATTATTTGGTTCAAACCGTGAGCGTGTGAGCTATTAGAGCAAACCACTATAGTGGTGCGTCGTCCAGAGAGATGACATCCGCGGAAGCCACTATAGTGGTGCGTCGTGCCTAAAAGGTTAAG